ATATTTCTGCCAGAACTTCACAATAAAGTAATGGATATTTAGACGCGAACTTTAAAATGATGTACTGGATAATTTTATGGGAACTTTACACTCAATGTTGGATACTTTTGTGTAAATTACACTTTTTCTTAGATGTGGTATTCATACATGAGTGATAACGGGTATTCATTTTTTCAGCTTTTGTGATAAGTTAGATGAAACACGATTTTTATATTCTCTCTTGTAATTTATATAAATTAACAAACGAAAATTGTTTGTTTCGAGATTTATTTATTACTGTTGTTGTTATTGCGCAAACCTGCATAATGAATTATCTACAGTGTTCAGCTCTAGGAATCGAACCACGGATTTATCGTTGTACGCCCGTAAACTTAATACTATGTTGACCCAAACGAAAATATACTGTTTTTAGTTGCTAAGCAAACGATTCTGAACGTCATATTTTGACCTCAAATAATAAGTCTATAAATATTATATGCTCAGTGAAATGACGTAAAGATGAGAAAAGACGCGTTTTTATTCACAATTCGACCACATTCCCCCCCCCTTTTTTTTAAACAAACCCCTAATAGTCTTAGAGTTAACCAACAGTTAACGCTACATATAACTGAAACAAATAACACTAACCAAGTAACAGCCAGGCCGCAATATAGTATGACTGACGTTACTTATAGCCGAAAATAATCTAATGGTTAGTGTGTCTAAATGTGTCCGAAAGGTCTAAAGTTCAAGCCGCGATGCCACGTTTAAAACTTTCAGTTACATACAGCGCGTTATAAATGTGAAAGTCAATCTCATTATTCGACTCATGGAGCTGGACAAAGCTTTTGTGGCTGCTGCCGACTGGATGTCCTCCTTCTGGCTAGTAATTAAAATTATGGACGGCTATACCTGAATATAGGAACCTCTATTCTGGCTAGTTAGCCAGTGAGCACAAGAGATATCGTTCGAGTTTAGATATTAATACCGTTTTGCAGAGTAAGGTTGCTTCAGCCAAAATGGTTTGGAAAAAAAATACACAAAGCTCTAAAGTGCTACTTTTGGCATTAACAAAACGTTGTTTTTAAAGAGTTATTTGAGTTCGGTAACCCTATCTGCTGAAAGATCAGTGTACAAATTAGTTTAGTTAGAAAACTAATGTGTATGATGGTGGTTTTAATGTCATCACCATATTTACTAGGAGCTCTATTCTGGCTAGTAGTTTGCATTTAAATTAAAACTAAAATTAGACAATATTACTTCGTATTCAAGTTGGGTGAAATAGATTATAATTATCACTTTACTTTTCTAATGCCATAAAAGGTAACAATAAATTCAGATATATTCATTACAAGTAATGACAATCCACAGTGTAAAGCTAGTCGTTAACGCGTTGATAGCTTGCGCACATGCTGTTATAACAGAGATGTGGAGACGATGAGTTTTACCAGATCGCCGATACGGGGACCGCTTACTGGTGTTATTAACATTTGATGCTAATCGAAATTCGCAATGAAGCTTTCCTAGAAATTAAACGTTTGAAAGGCGAAGGGATTATAAAAAATTGATGAAAGAAAAGACTATCAAACTTGGATTAACGATGTTTGCTAAGTTTTCAATTCAGGTGTGTTTATGAGGACATAAAGCTTTATAATTTGGTAAATTACTCACTCACACCTCCGCGTTTCATGAGCTTCGTTCTTTACAAGAAAACTATTAATATTTCTTCCAAACTAAACTATAAAGTATTCTTTCATAAAATATTATGGAAGTCACCTCAAACATTCGACTATGACTAAATAAAACATAAACCTGGTCATAATGGATAAATATTTAACGTTTGAGCTCGACATTAAAGTTTATGTGGATAATCTATCACAGCTGTCACTACTATAAGATAAGATTATTTGCCTGAAAATACAATGTTCATTATAAGTGTCGGCTTTATTCTTTTCTTTCTTTTATACATACGCATTATTTGTGTAACAGTACCTTAGGTTATCACACCTAAAGATTAATAAATCACATCGAAAACCGAAGATTCACAGGTGAAATACACGACTTGTATACGAGCGCGATAGTACTGCGAGTTACCCCACACGATAAATATTGCCTTAAAAATCGAGGATTCGCTGTTTTATATTTATGTAATAAGTATCACCATTATGATTGTTTGTCTTTTGAATTTCGCGCAAAGCTACACGAGGGCTATCTGCGCTAGCCGTCCCTAATTTGGCGGTGTAAGACTAGAGTGAAGGCAGCTAGTCATCACCACCCACCGCCAACTTTTGGGCTACTCTTCTACCAACGAATTGTGGGATTGAATGTCACATTATAACGCCCCCACGGCTGAAAGGGCGAGCACGTTTGGTGTGACGGGGATTCGAACCCGCGACCCTCAGATTGCGAGTCGAGCGCCCTAACCACCTGGCCATGCCGGGCCCCGCCATTATGAGGTCTGTAAAGAACCAGTTATTATTTGCAGCTCATTTTGCCAAGTTCATTTTATCTCTTTGTTCTGTCACCTTTAAAACAATGTGTTACCAATACTTTTAATAACCATCACATCTTTAGAAGATACAACAAATGCGCTGATTCCTTCAGTCTGGTCGTTAAAACAATTCAGATCCTTGTCTGTTGCTAAGCGCAAAGCTTGCACAAAGGGTTATCTATGCTGTACTCATTGCAGTTATCTAACTATCAGTTTTAGTGTTATAAGCTCTTATTAAGCTTAGGGCCGAGCCAACGAGGGAGATAATTTATTCTTTGAGAAAAACAATTCTTTATCTGTATTATAGAATACGAACTGGTTAAAGCCTAAAAATATCTAGTATATTATAGAACACGAACTGGTTAAAGCCTAAAGATATCTAGTATATTATAGAACACGAACTGGTTAAAGCCTAAAAATATCTAGTATATTATAGAACACGAACTGGTTAAAGCCTAAAAATATCTAGTATATATCTTCCGTTTCTTAGAAAATGAAACTATTCTCTTAAAGTTCTGAGAAACCCGTTGTATCTGAAGAGTTTAGGGATTCAAGAAGCACAGATTATTATTAAATTCTAGAAGCATCGGATAATAAAATGAGCTGAAACCTTAAGAGTTGAACACTACCAAACGCTTTGATATCAGTCGGCTTGTTTATCAATGGTTCTGCTAAAGATACGAAGCACATTCATCAGTACTACTATAGCCCAGCTAACGTCAACACTTTTGATTCAGTTTTAAAGTCGTTTAATTAACTAGCGTATCTGTAATATACATATGTTAAAGGTATGTTACTTTTAGTCTTATATTTACTTCAGGTAAGTGATTTTAAAAAAAAATTCGTTAGTATAGGTTGTTGTTGTTGTTTTAACGCAAAGCTATACAATGGGCTGTCTGCGCTCTTTCCACTACGGAGGATCGGACCCAGGATTTTAACATTGTTAGTCCGTAAAAATGCCGCCGACCCACACGATAGTCTGTTCTTTTAGGTTGTCATTGTTTCTTAGCACTGGACTATCTGCGCTCTGTTCATCGCGGGAAATCGAACCTCAGATTTCATCGCTGTAAGTCCGTAAACTTACCGCTGACTCACCGGGGGACATTATTATAGGAGATATTTAAGGTGTATGTTATTGCCAAACAGGATATATTCGGAAGTTTCATTCTCTATAGTTGAGTATATATAACAGGGGTTACATTCTATAGTTGAATATATATAACAGGGTTACATTCTATAGTTGAGTGTATATAACAGGGGTTACATTCTATAGTTGAGTGTATATAACAGGGTTACATTCTATAGTTGAGTGTATATAACAGGGGTTACATTCTATAGTTGAGTGTATATAATAGGGGTTACATTCTCTAGTTGAGTGTATATAACAGGGGTTACATTCTATAACTGGGTGTATATAACAGGGGTTACATTCTATAGTTGAGTGTATATAACAGGGTTACATTCTATAGTTGAGTGTATATAACAGGGGTTACATTCTATAGTTGAGTGTATATAACAGGGTTACATTCTATAGTTGAGTGTATATAACAGGGTTACATTCTATAACTGAGTGTATATAACAGGGGTTACATTCTATAGTTGCGTGTATATAACAGGGTTACATTCTATAACTGAGTGTATATAACAGGGGTTACATTCTATAGTTGATTCTTATGAAGACCGTTCGAATTCAATCATTGGCTAACTTGAATGATCACTAGCTGCAACTAGTGAGTAAAAAAAAGCCTAGAATACCTTATGTGATTATCATATTATTAAAAAAGATTTGTATAAAAATATCAATTTAACAAGAACATACGACCCACTTTTGGAAGTGTTGGACAAATAAATTTGAAAAGAAAAAAATGAGAAGTGCTTGTTGTTTTCTATTTAACTCAGCTTTAATTGAGGTAAACTGATAAAATATATACAGCTTCTGTTGCCATGTTTGCACATTTAATCCATACTTATTCTTACGTTCATTGAATTGTTAAAACATAAAATTCTCTTTTTGTCACAGATGGCCGACAACCTCATGATATTAGCAGGTTACACAAATATTCACAGTCAGATCAGTTTTATTTAACGCTGTATAGCCGCTTATGTAAAAATAGTTACAGTTTCTTTTTCCGCTTATTTGATATACATGTGTGTGAACAACAAACAAATAATTAATTAAACACATTTTAATTAATTATTATGTTCATTCTATTCAGTAAGCTGTATAACATTTACTGACAGAAATAATGATTTGGTTTTGCTGACGTCGGCTTTTCTTATCTTTTCATATATTTTAATAAAAAACAAAGTAAGTACAAAAAATATTAAATTATAGATTTTAAAAGAGGCTGTAACACATTCTACGTAAAGAATTTCTAAGCATAAAACATGTCTATATTTTGTTGAATAACGTGATACGTAGTCCATAAAACATGAGTTCACACAGTTTTGTTTTAAAAATTAGGCATAGCCAAATAATCCATTACATATTGACTTCTGACTAGAACTAACCAGTCCTAATCTATTTCAGGAGGTTGCATTAACTACGGTCACTCATGTCTCGGAGGTAAGTGAAGAATTCTTAGTAACTTGTCATTAGATTTAACCAAAAATGAGATTTCATCCAAAATTCATCTTACATCGAGCTTATAATTAGAAACCATTTAACCTTAATATTTCTGATTTTCCAACTATGATGTTGATCGCTATTTCCAATACAGAATTATTTAGCCAAGTACGATATTTCTGTCATAACCATAACATACTATCCAGTATAAAGTAAATATTGTAAGAAATTATAAGTGTTGTTTACCACAGACGCAATAAGGCTTAACGTTTTGATCAGTAATATCAAATCTGTATATTCTATTGCTTCTTTAAAATTTTTAGTATTAGAATAGTTTCAACGTTTTTGGATCGCACGTTTCATGATTGTAAACTCTACGTTTAAAAGTAAGTATGGATGATATTTTAAGGTCATGGAAAAAGGGGAATCAACGGCATATTTCACGAGACAGGTGATCTGAAGAAGCTCATTTCTCAACTACTGCAAAACGATCGAACTAGTTTCAAGTACCCCGGATTCAATTCGATTGGTCGTGCTGAGGGTCGACTGCCGCTGAATAATCTCTATTCAAGTGCTAAAAATAAACAACAATACGACAGTCCACCAGAGTACAACTTTGCCTCTTCTTCCTCTGAAGATCGCGACTACCCGAAAGATGACCATCATCGGTTGAATCCTAGATATCCAGGAGAAGACAGTGGAGCTGACGACCGTTTCTACTCCACCGACAGCCGTCTTTATAACTTAATAATCAGTGCTGTAAGAGATGTTAACTAGCTCTAATACTGATCAGTTTTAATTGTTTACCACTATACGTTGTCCTGGCTCTTGAATTTACCGTAAAACTACACCTGAATAAAAAAAAATGAATGTTCAATTATCTATGTCTGTTTGTTGTTAAGCACAAAGCTACATAATGGGCTATCCGTTCTGTGCACACCACGAGTTTTTAGCGTTATAATCCTGCAGATTTACTGCTGAACCACTAGGGGGCTCAATTATCCATGTCTTTCATTGTCATTTTCATTATTAGGTTTCACAATAATAAAATACACAAGATAGGGGAGCTATGTTTAGAGTTTTTATATGTATATTATCCACAGAATCACATCACTTGAAAGTAACAAGTTTGCACGTTCTTCCGTTAATTCTTTGTATTTTAACATGGTACTTTTACTTATAAACTAACTGTTAAATTTAAGATAGTTTTGTTCGTATTCTGCAACTAATCAAAACATTAATCTGAAATGACCCGAGCGTGGCCTAATGTATCGACAAAGAACCTTAGGCTTGAGGCCTGGTATAGTCAGCTGTGAGTGTGTTTGTTTGTTTGTTTTTGAATTTCGCGCAAAGCTACACGAGGGCTATCTGCGGTTGTCGTCCCTAATTTAGCAGTGAAAGACTAGAGGGAAGGCATCTAGTCATCACCTCCCACCGCCAACTCTTGGGCTACTCTTTTACCAACGAATAGTGGGATTGACCGTCACATTATAACGCCCCCACAGCTGAAAGGGCGAGCATGTTTGGTGGGACGGAGATTCGAACCCGCGACCCTCAGATTGCGAGTCGAGTGCCTAACCACCTGGCCATGCGGGGCCCTGTGAGTGTGTTATTTGGTCAACAGTAGCTGTATCTCGCGACTGGTGCAGCCTAATTGTCTTTATTTTGATCAGCAGTTCAAAATCAAGGATAACTTACGCTTGACTCCTTAAGAGTTTCTCACTTGACCGTTAACCAACTGTGATGCTAATGTGTTATTCAGGTGAAAAAAAAAACTAATTCTGAAAGCTCAGTAAAATAATATGAAGGAAAATGTGCATATTGTATTTATTATAACTATCAATTTTCTAATCACGATTTTCATTTTAAATAGCCGTAAGTTCAACTAAGAATATGAAGGTAAAAATACCCGATAAACTGAAGAGGATTGTATACCGAGTAATTCCAGGTAGAAGACAATAATCAAGAAAACAATTATCAGATAAACATCTGTGCCTTTATCGAGAAATATGATGCACTACAGGAGGAAATACGCTGTTTGTAAGAGTACTTATCAATGGCATAGATATATCTCGTCATAAGTAACAGTTACGTAGAAATTGGAAACCTCCATTTCACTAAGTATCTATGAATAATATAGAAGTATGATAAACCAATATTCTGAAGCTGACGTTTCAGTACCGATATAGTCATTTTTACAAATAACCATAACATTCAGTACAGGAATGGCCAATAAGCACAATAACTACGTAGTTCAGAAACTATTAAACGTAGCAGATGTTAAATTTCTGACCTTTTTAACGAAGTAGTATAACACCCAACCATTTACCTGAAACTAATGTCTACTAACTACACTCCTATTAAAAAAAAGGGGTGCCAATAAGAGCACGATAGCAGATTTGGATTAAAATCTGTACAAATATGAAACATCAGTGGTGACATATCTTTACATCATAATTACAAACATGGAGGCCACTAACGTGCAACACTACCATATACGTTAATCTGAGTACATTATGTGCGAATTACTTACGAAAGAAATAGAGCTATATATTCATTAGAATACCCCATAATACGTATACATTTAGTTGTTAAATGCCAACAATTAAATCATCAGGAAGGTGGTTATCAGAAAGTATATGTTTGTTTGTAATTAAGCACAAAGCTACATAATGGGCTATCTGTGCTCTGCCCACCACGGGTATCAAAGCCCAGTTTCTAGCGTTGCAAGTCTGCAGATATACCGACGTGCCACTGGGGGCAAAAAGTATATGAAAGTCAGAAAATGCAGCATAGCTTTGGACTTGAATGCTGCTTGAAAGAGCACTAATCAAAGCCGCTAACACTAGTAAGTTCATAATGGTTGGGTGGAGCAAAGCTAATATTTGCAGAAAAGCATTAAAATATTGGGATAGATTAAAATTTTCTTTAAAGAATGCTGACTACAGAAAATAACAAAGGTGATATGATGGGATAAAGTGCTTCCCTCAAAATTAAAATAGAGATCTTATTATATTTACTTTTATGGTTTCCTTATAATTATTAATTATAATAACTGTGGAATTAATTATTCCACAATTGGGGACTACTAGAGTAACAACCCTCAATGAGAATAAATAATGCGATACGAATATCATAATTTCACTTCTACATCAAGAAGCATAAACAAGTCATGACTACAAAATCACTTTCAATTTCAGGTAAGTGAATTTTATTGTGCAAAATAATTAAATTGGTTATCTGGACGGAATAGTCAAATAATATATAATCTAACTGCCTACTAAGTGCTTGAAGACACTAGAAATGAACAATAAATACTATTTACAAAGTTTACAGATATAGTCCACAGATATCCATTAAATACACTTTACTTTCAGCACTTGGCAAAAATACGCAACTCAAAATAATTAGAGCAAATAGATTTTAGGAATATTATGTTTCTATACATTCCAAGATCATTTAAAATTTCAAACACATTAAAAACCAATTTTACAATACAAGTAATTATGAGTAGCACCCTCTACTAGGCATGTATCAGCTGTATCTTTCTACTTCGTTTTCCTTAAGCAGATGCAAAATATCTTTATTAAGTTTATCAATCAAAACACACACAAGCAGTAGTAAATTTCAGGAATAAATGTTACAGTAATGGTTCAACCTACATTAAGAAAGAAAAAACTTTAACAAAAACCATTCAGGTTACTTCTGATGACATAATTTCACAGATTTAATACAATTAGATGTAGTCCATATTGGAAATTTTTTTGTACTTTATAACACAGTGATCACACAATGTTTTTTTTTCCTGTATTTTTTTTTAGTTAAAATAAATCTTTAAGAAAGTGAGAAACCAGCTTAATGATAAAAGTATCTAAAACATTACCCAAAGACAGTGTTAGAGGTAAAATTGTAGCATTTAAGAAAAACCTAGAGTATCAAACACAACTGGGGATAATACTGTTTGCCTCATGAGGCAGTTTTGGTGTTATATATTTAAGTCTAACACTGTGACATTTATCTGAGAAGCTTATATCATGTTTAAACTGTTAGAACACCAAGTAATTCAAGTTATTATAACAAATTTCCTTCAGATCCAATGAATTTTTTTTTAAATTACACAGCATGTAACTTACACCCTAAATTTACAAAATATTACATTTCCTAACACAAGTTTTCACAATTACATCTTCAACCAGTAACGAAATAATAACAATAAGATTAAAATACAGTCATTAGTTATATTTTTATTAAAGTATTTCATATAATGACAACAAGTTGTTTGCATTTTATATGTGTACATTATTAAGGCCACAGTTTTCATAAATTTAGAATGTTTTAAGTATTACAGTCAATTAATAAAGTGAAAACTATATAGATGTTGCAAAGTTAATGGAAATAATTAAAATTGTAGAAGCCTAAATAAATACATTCAAGCTATTAATGAAAGTACTTTGTCAGCTCTCTTTCTTCAAGATTACAACACAAAATGTTTAGACTATATCAGCCTATTACCAACATGAAAATTCTGCGACTAGATATGAATAGCTAATTACATTATCACCACTTCTCTCAAAAATATAAAAACCTTTTCAAACTGAAATGAACTCTACAAGTCACATATTATCAATCAAAAATTTTTTCGATGGCATTAGAAACTGTGTTCACTTTTGACATGAAGAACAATAACAAGAGAAATACTAAGCACATACATAACTCAAGGAAATACCACAACAAATTCATTAAGTAAATATAAACAATTTGTTTTTGTATAACTTTTAACACTCATAAAAACAAAACAAAAAACTGGATATTAGAGGGGGAGGAGGATAAAACCAGTACAATAAATAGAAGTGTTTAGGGAAAATATAGGAAATATTTCCAACCTCAAAAAACATACAGAATTTATTATGATAAAAACATGACATTATAAAATTGAATTCAGAATGAATAAAATCATTAGGTTTAACACTTAAAACCACAAATTATCATTCTTCTTTCTCCCATCTAGAAAACAAAAAAGAATTTCAAGCAACTTGATCAGTGATTTTCTAAATTACTAATTCTTAATACCATACTTGTTATGACTGGACATGTGACAAAGAATTTTGATATTATACAGATCAAACATAAACAACCACTATGGTGAAGTCTTATAATTTCACTCTTATAGCTTTAACTCTATGGTGTTATGGATATATAAGTTATATTACCACAAAATGCTAATTTGGCAAAAGAAGTAAAAGGTTATTATTTATATGTGAGCAGACTGGCAGATACCAAACTACAAGTAACAAATGTGCTAAGGAATGAGGCCAGAAATTATTACTACTATTTATGAATTATTTAAAAGTACTGCTTCATACTTTTGACTGACATGTGACAAGAGTGGTACAAGAAAATGGTTATGAAAACAGTTGTGCATCTCACTACAATTGATAGATATGCACCCTAATCTGACTAGATGTTAGAAAATGTTAATTTGTTGTGTTAATGAGCTGAACAAGTGCTCTGTCAGCTCAACCTAAGATCTTTTCACATACAGTGTTAAAGGAGTTAAACATATATAGGTCAATATCTTTTATATATTAACATAAAACTCTTGAATGTTAAAAAGGGTTTGTCAACTGTCCTCATATTATACTTTTTGGGGTAGATTAACAGATGCCATCATACGACTAATGCGTTCATCATTTCTCAAGATAGTAGCTTTCAGAGTACTAATACTGGCTAGCTGATCTTGAAGAGCTTGTTCTACTTCCTCCAGTTGTGCTTGCATAGGTTCCAAAGCTGTTTCTGTGATACTATAAAGAGAAAAACAACCATAAGAAGTCTTGCTTTCACCTATTGTATTATAACATAATAATGATTTTTATCAGTATATTTTGAAGTTATCTTACTTATAGAATGAATTACTGGATTTTTAAATAGATGAACAATAGTGTTTTTCTGATGGAAAACTATAGAGAGAAGAGATAAGCTTTTAGTTCATATACGATTCACAAAACACACAAAAAATCAACAAGTCCAAATGAAGTTAAATTAATTTGGTTATAGTGGGTTTTGGGGTTATATAAAGTGAGTTTATAGGCCATGTATACATGATAATGTGTGTGATACTGAACAAACACACATGAAATAGTCTGTCAAGGCCAAAATCTGGCTGTATTTATGTATAAATACATATCGTTGTTGTAAAGCAGGATAATCATTAAATATTTTCATTGCAAATAGCAATCTAATAGTATGCAATGGTAATTCCAACCACACCTTATCAATATGTTACACTGAACAACCACACATTTTTCATGAATATGCTGAATTTCACTATATATATATATATATGAAAATGAAAACAAAACTAATATATCAAAGCACTCAAAAAACATCAAAATATGTAACACCCAACAATTAAGAAGTTAAAACTGCAAGTGATTTTCCTCATGAATGAATATTTATGTGTGAATAATAGTACATGTAACATTTTGCTCCTTGCCATTCCATTAATATTTTCTTCTTCTCTTTACTAACTCTATCTTCATCAGATGAATGCTGTGTCAGAGTTTATTTCTGGATCTTTCAACCAGATATTATGATAAACAATAACCAACTTCCCATCAACAGATATCTTCAGTCAGTTTGTTTCAGAGTGCACAGTTTCCCAAATACACAATGAAGGATTGGCAAGATCAGTTACCAAATGTCAACGTACGAGTTTCTATTCAAATAATATCTCATTCGCATAAGAAGGAAAACTGGAAATTCTTTTACACTGATTTCAGGCCAATGTGGTCAACATAAACAAAATGGCTGACATTTACATTTGTTCTGGAAAGGGTGGTATGTAAAGAAAAAACTTTTGCATGTGCTTATTTCTTTGTGTGAAGTTAAGCACAAAGCTACATAATGGGCTATATGTGCTCTGTCCGCCACGATTATCAAAACCCGATTTCTAGCGTTGTAAGTCTGCAGACATACCACTGTGCCACTGGGGGGCTTTGCATATGCAAATAAGATATTTGATCACTCTAAGAGATTCTCATGTAGTCTGTTTTGATTGTTTCAATACTACTTTTGACAATAAAAAAGACGAAAAAAAAAGCAATTACTACTGGAAAAAACAACAGAATTTCCTAACCATTTACCAAAACTACTGTTTTGAGTTTTAGAACTAGTTTTTAACAGACTTTTACATATAGTACTTCATGACATATAAAAATATCCAAGCAATAGAAGTTGAAATATGGTGAGGTCAATGGGAAAAAAGGAATATGAGAGCATAATGATGCAAAATTACTTTTATATAGGATATGATATGGCCTTGTTTTAGTCTTATTACCCAATCTATAATGCATGAGATTGATTTAATTTAATTTGGAGCAATACCATTCAGGTCATGAAGGTCACATGCTAAAATTATTTTTTATGTATGACAGCACACTGTCCAGAGACACAAAAGAATATTCATTATTTTATTCTGATGGCCTGAACTGTGTAAAAAAACAAAATTCTATTTTATTCTACGAATTTCATCAATGAGATAGTACTTGAATAGGATCTATTATATTGAATTTTGGTCACTAATTTTACATTCATCCTTTCCCTCAGCAAACACAGTGGTGCATCTACATAGTTTTGTAATTAAATCAATTAGTTCTTATTTTAAAATTAGAAACTATAAGAACAACCCCTGATCATTATGACTCCTGCAGATCTTTAGTACTACAAGTATTTCTAAATTCTCTTTATAATCTATACTGTTCTAATAATACAAATTATGTTTGTTTGTTTTTAATTATGCACAAAGCTACACAAGGGCTATCTGTGCTCTGACCACCACGGGTATTGAAACCCAGTTTCTAGCGTTGTAAGTCCGCAGACATACTGCTGTTACAAATTATGTATTGTATATATATTTCTAACCTTTGTTCTCTTCGAAGAGCCACAAGGTTTTTTTGATTTTCATTTTGCCACATTTTTAGTTCCTGCTGCATGGCATCCACATCCTCCTGCAGGTAGTCTAACATCTTCCCAAGAGGGTTGGCACTTCGGCTGACAGTTTGTATGAACTCTCGTAATTTTTCTACTTCTCTGGCCATCACTTCTTTTTCCTTCTTGCTGTGTACTGTGTCAATCATCTGGGATTTATCCTTCGTATTGAATAAACACAAAGACATGTAATCAGAATATATTTACATTTCTTCAATCTTTTTTCTACTGTAAGAAAAGATAAGAAGGGGGGGAGGATAATTGTCCATAACAGAAATTTAGCTTACTATTAAAAATTATTTTACTTACTTGTATTATGTCTACTTTATTTACCAAAATATTAAAAACCAGAAAATCACTTTTGATACTCTCCACACTTCACGCATTAAAATTTCACATGCTGTTTACATTTCACCTTTAATCACTGTCTGATTCAATGGAATGGTCATGCTGATTATTAGAGCATTCTAAATACCTTCAGGTGTGGAAGGTGGTCTTTTCTGCCTGTGTTCTTTTTTTTGCCATTTAAGTACCAGGAACCACATTACAAATGCTATATATGCACAACACCCCATTTCTCATGTATGTAACACAGAATATACCAGGTTAGCAAAGATGGGTCATCTGTCTCATTCTGAATCCTAAGAAAGTAAACATTACTTGAAACATGTGATAGTTATCCTCTGGTAGATGACATTATGTATTTAATGTCACATGCTTCAAATGGTAAATTCAAATAATGGTGAAAAGTCAAAAGTTGCATCACCTGCTTCAATCCTTTCCCACATTGACCATTTTTTTCATTAAATTGTCAGATCCCAATTCTCAAGTAATCCACTATAAAAATAATGTGCTGTTTTGGTAAATACCATGTTCCATAGCTTTTGCTGCTTTATGTAACCACTTATTACTTTTACCACCCAATGCAATTTCATGACAAGCCTTGAAAAATTAGATTCTTCTGTAAGTTGTTGGTTAAATGACTATGCAGAAAGACCTGTATTTAAGCTTTAACACCAAATTCATCAAAATCCTCTATCCATCACAGTCATATCATGTGGTGGTGTCAAGGTATGAATGTTTTCAATATCATTTAAGAGCATAAAATACTTAAACTATCTTCTTTATTTGCTGAGACATCACTAAAAGTCAAAATCACCAGTGAACCTACTCTCTTTGTGACTTTTAAGATCGTTTGCTGATAAGGTTTACATGACTGATGAACACGTTTACAACCAGTAGAAATAGCATATTCTCCTCTATATCAGGATTACAAATGTCCTTTTAAGAGTATTCACTTAACAGAAATTTCCCATCATGTTATCATGGTTTTGCTGCTCTGAATTGCTAACAGAATTTTTTTAACCTATTTATAGCTTGCTCAGAAAGCTAGATAAATTACGGTAGTTTTAGGACATTATATTCTAGTATCCAGTAGTTTTAGGACATTATATTCTAGTATCCAGTAGTTTAGGACATTATATTCTAGTATCCAGTAGTTTTAGGACATTATATTCTAGTATCCAGTAGTTTTAGGACATTATATTCTAGTATCCAGTAGTTTTAGGACATTATATTCTAGTATCCAGTAGTTTTTGTGTTCTAAAATGCATATGTGAAAATTCCATTTTCTTTTTGAATGCCCAAATTTGTGAGACTCAACCAGGATAGAATGTCAAGTATTTTTTACTCTAATGCAAACAGCATGAATATACAGTGAGTACCAGAAATAACTGTTTACTTGTTATGTACTTTTTTAATAAATGTAACTAAAATGTAAAAATCATAGACTTCTCAGCTTAGCGTCACAAAACTCCAGTAAAATAAAATGTCTAAAATTACATTAGCTCAAGTGCTCATGCATGTTATCTCTACAGGAAACAGCCAATGGATTCCTGCTTAATCTATTACTTTTTCAACAAAATGATACTAGGAATTGCCATAAAATAAATGAAAAACTGTGAAATAGGTTAACAGTTTAAAATGTTAAGATAAGTAATTTGGATATTTCTGAGCAGTGTTACAATCAGTGAAGAGGGAAAATCTGTATTATTCATTTGGTTTCATATTTTTAAGCTTTTTTTCACTGCACTTTGATAATTTCTCTACAGATAATATTACGGTAGAGATAACAGTTTTACAGAAAAAATATTTTGGTATTCATTTAGAAGGTTATATAGGTTAAGCAAATTAAATACAAAAACTAAAGACAAAAAAACATATGTTTACTCTTAGCATGATAATCACCTTTCATTCAGACTGAATCTATAAAGATTTCAGAAATTTAGACATATCTTTAGTAGATATATTTTACTAAAAACTAGTTTTTTGTGTACAACAGACATGCAATGTTTACTACAACTTGTCGAATTTTGTGAAGACATGCATAGTAAATTTAGAATTATTGTACGTATAGTTTCACAATTCGAAGGTTGGTTAACTTGACCAACTGTATTCTTATTGGGTTAATGGAAAATTAAATATGTATTATCTACTATTCTAAACATTTTAAAACATTACTATCTTTACTAAAAGAGTAATGCACACAAAAAAAAATACTATGTATAAACAAATATATCTATACACACACTAAAAAACTGCAGTAGTTTTATGATATTGAACATCAGTTTGTTAACAAAAAAGTTTACTAGGAACAGTTAAATACTGGGTATAACTATTTCTCCTTAATATCAGATTAGTTGTATTTTAACAAACACTGCAAGTGAAATTGAAAAATTCTCTTCCATCAAAACAGAAACAAATGAACAATAAAAAAAAACCTGTCAATATAATTATAAAAAATGTTTTATGACTGACTAGCCACAATCAAAAACAAAATAGCAATAACTTTACAGGTTCTTTGTACAAATAATGCTCCAGGAAATCTCCAACTTACTATTTCTACTCTGCGTGTTGCGAGTTGTTGACTACCCCCTTCAAGATCTTTCTTAGTTTCTAGAAGTTGCTTCACCAAACTACCTAGAAAAATAAACATAAGAATGGCAATAAAATTATAAATATGTAAACAGAGCTGGTCTTAGGACAAAGCAAGCTAGGTAGTTCCTTTGGGCTCCACACTCAAAATTTGAAAACTAACAAAATATTCCGAGTAACATGGCATGACCAACTTAAAATAATATAATTTGATTACATATGCTTAAGTTTATAAGAAAGATGCAAGTGAGCTATCTGTGTTATGTCTACCATGGGTATCAAAGCCCAGTTTTTATCATTCTAAGCCTACAGACTTACAGATAGTTCGATGTCATGCCAACCAATAAGTACATGTGCTGATTTTGTGATGAAATGTGTTTTCGAACAATTGTTATTGTACTTAGAGAAGATGGCCCCATGAGTTACTCTGTCTTTGGGCTTCACAAGATCTAAGACCAGCTCTGTATGTAAATACAGCCACCAGTTGTAAATAATTTCTGTGTCTTTACTTAAGCCTACAGTGGAATTAAATGGTTTGTTACAAAAGTATGCTGGTGTTCAACAGTTAAACCAGACAAAAGATATTCACCAGACATAGAGCAAAAAAGGAATGAAGTAAAACAAAAGGTTTTTGTTAAGGTGTATGTGTGTTCATAAATACTCTTATAGTTTTATATTAGCTGCATGTCTTACTATGGTTGTTGATTTACCTTGTTGTTCATCTTCTGTTGGCTCTTTAGGTGCTAGAAGTTCCTACAAATTTAGGAAAAAGATATGTATTCAAGTTTAAAAAACAACATCTAATTTTTAACATATAGAGAAGTGACAATAAAATCAAACTTAAAGAAGTTAACACTGGCTATCTGAATAAATATTTTATAACGTGCAGTAATCCTTAGTTAAAAGAAGAGTTTTAATGGACATTTGGTTAGCATTCAGTCACTTTGCTGGATAATAGTGCCTATTCAGCAGCTACATGTATTTTTGAAAATGTCATACAATTTACTAGGGACAACACAATTTAAAACCTGTTACAGGTACTAGGAAGTTATAAATAACAAATAAAAAACCTGACAAAAAGGTCAATTAATTAATTAATTTTTATTTGTAAAGGTTACAATAATTATGAAACTCAGTTTTCAATAACATGTTTCGTGTGGATAATCCATTCAGTTAAAAACTGAACTAGATATGTTTTATTTAAGAAGCATATGAAAGTTGAAATTAATATATTTAGAACAGCTTTAAAAAAAAGAGAACAAATATATTAAAAATGATTATAGGCTTGCATATTCAAAGAGCTGCTGAGAAATAAGTTTAGAAAACAAATTCTTATTCAAATAGAATAGTTGCAGGTAAAAACTGAGTCATGTATGAATATAAAAAGTCAAATAAGACAACCAACCATAAAAAATATAGCTTGCAGCACATTATTCTTATAAACAAATGATTCTATTGTCTTTTAACATATACAGATGTGAAGAAGCAGGATTTTGGGCAAAGAAATAGCCAATAGTAATTCTAATGAATACTGAAATTTAATGGTTGTTCACATTAATTCTAAATAGCCAATCAAAAAAGCACACTTATTCTAAGTCCTTTGATAATACATACACATTGGCTCTATGAATCACAGACTGTTTTGGTTACATGTAAATGCAACATTCAGATACCTTTCACACCCACTAAAAATTTTGCTGGGTAAACAAAGTCTGCATGAATGTTACATTACTGTAATAGAGGTGTATCAATATATATATACATCTATATGAAAATTTAACTAAATGAGACAGAATATTTTGACAGAAGAATTTGGGGGGGGGGATGTTTGACAGTCTATATTATCAACTTAGCTTTACCCCATTACAAAGTTTCAGAGAGATTATTTAATGTGGTATTGAATTGGAATACAAAACTAATAAAATTAGTCAACTTACAGGTTTTAGTTCAGGCTCAGATGGCCCTGCCTCCTCAACCACAAATGCTTCGTCTTCATCATCAGACTTGGATTCTGAGTCAACTATCACATTAGCAACAGGTTTTGCACTAGCCAACCTTAAAAAAAAATTTTTTTTCTCATTTTTAACATCATATAATAACCACAAAGAAATTCCTGAAAAAAAAAAGCATTATTGAACATTTTGATTTATATATTTTTTAAATTAAAGCAATGGTTTGACTTCAAAACATTAACATAAAAAAAGATTCATACACCAACACAAACAGCATAAAAAACAACAAAATATAGATTTAAACCATACTTGCTGCCAATTACTTTGAAAACACACGTAACTGGCACCGAAATTATTTAAAACATACACAAATCACAGCTCACCTAGAAAGCTTGCTTGCTGGTCTAAATAACCACTATAGTGGTTGGATAGATATATCAAAGCTTGCAACTCTTAGTTGGATAGAAGAATTTCTTCATCTGAATGAACCCTTATGCACATAATAGGCTAAACTGTAATGTGAAAAACCTCACCAATAAAACACAGACATCTCTAACTTTGATTCTGAACCAAAGTGAAAGCAGCTAGACAAGAGCACCTACTGCTTAAAGTGGCTAGTTTTAACTAAATACTGTATTTGTCTACCATTCTTATAACACATCCACAGCTAAAAGTGCAATGTGTGTCTGACGAAGACTTGCCTTGAACCTAATACCCATGAATTCCTGTCCGTTACATTAACCATTAAGGATATACCCAGACCACATAAAACTGAAAATTAAGTGATATTATGTTACTTTTTTGACAGACATTTTTGTGTGAAAAAGTATAAAAAATGGCTTATAAATGAGTCGCTGGCAATAAATAATGGCCTGAACATAAATTTTATGTTCATAAATCTCTATCATGTTAAGCATTTTAAAACTTGCCTGCGTTTAGATTTATATATCTAGATTTTACTTTTATCATCAAAAGAACCTTGTAATGGTGTTGTCTATTTCTCATAATCTTTGTTTTTAAATATTTTTGATGAAATGTTCCAATATTTTGTCTTTCAATAACTAACACAGTTATTTGGGTGAAGTATAACAATTTATTGTTTTTTTCAGTTATTTTACCTCAATAATTTCATTTACATCATAATCACAATTCACTGGCCTCCTCTGTAATATCAAATATATAGGAAAATCTCCATTTAATGTAAAAAATTTGTTTGATTTGTTGAACTTGGCATAAAGCTACTTGAAGACTCTTTGCAATAGTTAAGAGCTATCGACTCATAGTGACCCAAAAACTAACTCTTTTCAAGATGACATATCAATAACTGCATCCTGAAGCTGCTGCTAGTGGCTTCTCCGACACCATCCATGCACCTTGTTTGAGGTATTTCTCTCCTTTTGCTTCCATTGACTCTATACCAAGTATGAATGTATTTTCAATTTTATTGTTTACTTACATCACATATCCAAAATATATCAGTTTCTGCTTTAGCATCATGGCTTCAATTGTGCAAGTATCTCTTATTTGGCCCAAGTCTAATTAATTGGTTCTCCTTGCTGTTTATTGGATCTTGAGCAATCTTCTCTTGCACCACATTTGAAATATGTTGATCTTCTTTCTCTTGCTTTTTCTTAAAGTCCAGCTACCATATCTGTGCATCACTACTAAAAAACAACTTATTAATCTTATTTTAGTTTCCCAGAAACACTCATATCCTTCATTATGTTAGTCAAGACTGACATTGCTGTTCTTCTGATGTCTTCAGCACAACTTCCATTTCTTTCTGTTCTAGACTCCTCAAAAATGAAGCTTTTCACTACCTCAGTTTGGTTGTTGATTACACAATATCTCTTACCTCTTCTCAGATGTCATCCAGCTGTCTATCCATTAAGATGATCACAACAAATCTGTTTTTAGTCTCTATATCACACTTCATTGGGATATCTTCTACATTTTGGATACCAGTAGTTCATGATCTGTTCCACAGTCAGTGCCTGGTAATGTCACTGCTGATTGAATGGAGCCTTTCCATTTTCTACTGTGAATATATAGTCTGCTTGATTTTAATACTGTCCATCTGTTGAAGTCCTCATGTAGTCTATGCTTACATTGTTTGAAATAGGTGTTGACTGCTTACAGTGTGTTCCTCACTAAAGTCTAATAATCTTTCTCCTGCTTCATTTCATACCTCTAATCCATATTTTCCTGCAATTCATGGTTCTTTCATCTCTCCATTTATTGTGTTACAGTCACCAATAATGAACAGAGCATCCTTTTTTGTGTAGCATCTATCAATTGTTGTAGTTTGCCACAGAATTTGTTAATATCCATCTCTTCAGTGCCTGTAGTGGGTATGTAGACTTCTATCACAGTGATGTTTGCAGGGTGTCCCATAATTCTTAGGGATATGATTCTATTGTTTACCAGGTTTTATCCCAGTATTGACTCAGCAATATTTATTTCAAGAATTAGTGCCACTCTATTTTTTTAAAAAATAAACTCATGCTTAGAGAAGTGCACTTTGAAGCTATCTGATTGAAAATGACAAATCCCTATCCACCTGGGCTCACTTATCCTTAAGATTTCCATATTGGTTTGTTCCATTTCTACTTGAATGATGCCAAACTTTTCCTGATTCATGCTGCTGATGTTCTATGTTCCAATGGTAGGTGTCTTTGTGAAGCTAGGAACTCACCTTTTGTTGCTAGAGGCATCGGTGGCTGTACTTCATTGTGGATCTGATCCACCCACATCATTACAGCCAAATCTACTCAATAAAGTTCTTTGCTCTTCCCAAGTAGCTAGTGGAGTGTCTTCTGAGTTGGAGGCCTCATTGTCCAGCACCAAGTATTGGTGAATTGTTGAGTTTCTGTCTATTGAGTTTTCTTGGCAATGATTCAGAAGTGTATTTCCATTGTTTTTTTCTATGCAGACTCAGCTAACTTGGGTAGTGTCTAAATGACTAGGACCAGTGACCTCCACCATTGCCTCTGTGAGATCTTCCACCACCAGCACCATCCACTACTGTTGCTGCCCAGTAGCTTCACCATAACCTTGGCAGGGCAACAGAAAGTTACCCACACTTGCCAAAGATGTGACCCTAAAACTCATGGAGGGGAGGGGAGAGAAAGCATTTCACTCTTCTCCTATATATCTGTTAGAAACGCTTATTACACTAGGCTTTCGTAATTTTGAAGTGATTGATTAAAGGAAAGACAGCTAGTTAACATCATTCACGCTTGGGCTCCTTTTTATCAATGAATAATGGGACTAATCACTATATTATAATGCTCCCATGGCTGAAAGGGTGAGCATGTTTGGTGATGTGTTTTGATCCCACTACCCACAGATTGGGAGTTGAGTGCTGTACTATCAAACCAATGTCAAAAATGATAATAATAATTTAATATTATAATAAATGTGCATTAAGTACTATTAATTTTTTATTTACTTTCTTGTGGGCAGTCACCTGTAACATACCTGTGTAGAATAACCATCTCTCCACAGACATCCTTTACTACACGTCACACAGTTTTTAGTGAGTTACATTCAAAATTTAATTAATCTACTTTTTGTTCATGTTATACCAATTAGTATGGCATAAAATCATATCTAATAATCCATATTTTAATAGTATATAAGTTGTAAGTTTTTAATTTTATAAGACAATATTAAAAAAATCCTAAATTTCCCCTAGTGTGAGAAATGTGACATTTCTCTATAGGCATACACTCTTCTCTTATTTATTAACCACCCCTCCAATAAGTATGAAATTTAATGTAAATTACTCATCATCATATTGTAATCACATAGGCAAAACATAATTTTCATAGCCTTCAATCTTGTTTGGTTACAGAGCCATCAAATAAAAAATATCAAAACTCTAATTTCTCAAGGTTATCTTCCAACTGGCTTGGAGTATGTATTTACAAGCAAGTCTAACCACTGTTTCATATTGTTGGACCATTCTCCGCTGGCACTCGAGTTATTTTTCTTGCCTTATAGAAATTGGTTTGATAGACACTTAAATTGCATTTAGGTTTTACTTAAAATGTATTACTTTTTAAAATTTAAATTTGTAAGGTTTAACAAATTTTTAATTTAAGGATAAAACAAAAATCTTATACTTGGAAATATTAATAACACAAGAATAACTTATTGCTGTGAAGTTGAACATACATTAATAAAAGAAGAGCATATATTTCCCTCCAAAATAAAACAAACTAATAGCTTTGGTAAAACACTATTTAACCAATATACAGTATGCCCCTGAAATTATGCAAAGTAAAAATTTTACTTTATGGCTTTAAAATCCTCACACATACAGGCTTTACTTACTTGACTGATTATGTACTTAGGCCTAAAACAGATGACAGTTCTTAATATATCTTTCAACAAATGTGAAGGGCAATATTATCAAATATTGTATAATATCCCTTATTACATTTAAATCTACATTGAACATAAGAATTTAGTAGCTCTCTATATCAATTGTGTCTTAGTCAAGTTGCTACCTCATCTGTTCTTCTCCCTGAATAATGTCACGATTTCGAACCTTTGGTGGTGCTGGCCTGGCACTAGGTGGGCGAGCTGATTTAAGAGCAGACCTTAATGAAGACCTGAGAGAAATGAAGTTACTATAGTTATGAAGAAGACAGTAATAATTTACTCATACAATAACTACTTACAAGAAATAAAATACCACAAATAAATTACTAGAAATAACTATTTTCATGTCTATGGTAAAAGGAAAGTTAATATCTTGTAGGGAAATAAATTCTATATAACAAGTTCTATTAAATTCTAAGTAAAGGAATATGCGAATATGGGACATTTTCTTTGCTTTGTTTTAGATTTTATTTTATTTACAAAACCATAAGGATGTGATTTATGATACACATGTATACAAATACCAAACCAAAGTATTTGGTCAGGGAAACAAATCTTATGAATTTTCACAAATATTAACCCACAAATGACCACCTTTACAACTGCACAAAAAAAATCATCATTTATGTGTATGTAATATACATAAACATCAAAACAGAAATAGTAAATTAAGATATGTACATGTCCATGCATGTTATTTCACATTCAAATTCAAACCACTCTAATATATACATTGTAAGTATTACAATGATTGAATGTAGAATTACTAAAGCTTTATATTTTCTCTTCACATTATTCATTGACTCACAAAAGAAAAAAATCAACATGATTTCTATTCAAGCTCTTTTGGAAACTCACACACTTAAAATAAATTCAAATTGGAAAATAGTAACAAAAAAACTATAATCAAAATGAAAAATGTCCTAGACGTGCATGTAAGGTAACTCTTAGGGCTGGTTTTATAAAATTTGGTTCAGCATTTAAACTATGTCCATAACATAGTGTACACAGTAAGTAAGTTTGGAAATTATCTTTAAAAAATGGAAAAGGACGGATTAAAACCAATTACGTACAGGATTAATAAAAGGTAAAAACAATAGCATAGCAAACTGTCAAACACACTAATTATAATACAGCTTGCGATAAAGAAGTGAATTTCCTAAAAATAACAATATAAAAGAAACTTGGATATTTATAACTAGAAAAAGTAATCAAACTTTGATAAGTATAAAAAAAGGTGTTACTTTTTTGTTGACAAAGGAAAGTTCAACATATTAATGGTAACAGCTGTGTTACAATAAGTATAATATATGCATGATGATAATGTATGCTGTAAAAAAAATATTGTTTGATAGAAGAGCTAACACATTTAAATATAATACTACACTTATGTTACCATTTTACTAGAAAATTGGAGAATATAAATACTAATAAATAAAATACTGTTGGTATTTTTGGCATTATCATAGTAGATACAAATATTATTATAGCAAAATATTTTATAATTTTAATACCTATAAAAATGTACACCATTTAGTATTTTCAAGATTACGGTATTTGTTGCAATTCCTGGAACTAAAGATATACAGGTGAAATTTTACAAAAAATGGTATATGAATTAATGATTGAAATGTGTATACGTATTGGTAATTAACCTTGCTGTTGGTGGAGGACCATCAGTTAAGTCAGAAGATGAACCAAATGATGTGGGAGGTCTCAGATCTTTTTGAACTTCTTCTATGCTTGTTCCTGCAAGAACAAATATACTGTAAGAAAGAATAATCTTGTTGTTAAACAAATGTTTAAACAACTCTATTCAATCAAGAATAATCTTTTGTTATAATCACAATATAAGGCTAATAGAAATGAAAAAAAAAAGTGAAAATCTTCAACTTCCTCCAAGAAGGTAAACTACATAACAAAAAGAAGGATTGTTTATAGACTGCAATTATCAAATTGATGTTATTAAAGTGGTTTAGTGTTCTCAGCCTATTCACCTGCTTTGTTAGATGTAATTTTGATTATAGTCATATGTCATAATTTTAAACTCAGCTTTCCTGTTGATTGCATTTCAACTTTTCTTGGCCTCTATTTGTTGATCTTTATTCATTTTTGGCTGGTATGTTATGATTTGAACTTTTTGTTTTTATTTATTACTCTTTTTTTCAGTGTGACACTACATTAAGTGGATGAGACATTATAAAAAAAATGTGTTTCTGAAGACTAATGAATTTTAGATATTATTATTATAATCTTTTATTTTTAGGTCAAAATCCAGAGATCACGTTACAGTTTTAAGAAATGTGCCATGAATGAACAGGTAACAAAAAGTTGCATACATGCTAAATGATCATGCATACAAGGTGGTTAAACACTTTCAGAGAAAAACATAAAAACAGCATTATATATATACATTATTTATTTACAATATATTCAGTTTGGCATTTGGAAGCTTAATAAAAATTCAGACAGTCCTTCTTATCAGCACAGATTTAGATGACCCAGTCATATTTGAAAATTAGTTGTGTAAGCCCTTCCAACAAGATTGTTTCTAAATTAGTGTTTAAGGTCAAGATGGAGGAAAGTTAGTAATGGCATTAAGAATTTGTTAAACATTCTGAATGTAAAAAATATACTATTAATTTTGAAACATGACTAATGAGTATGAGAAAACTAAAAATGTCTTAAATTTGATAAAAAAATTAGGCATTTTGGAAAAGTTTTCTTCTGTGTATTACTTTTATTAAGTGTATTACCCTTCTTTGAAAAAAATATTTTTTGATCTATTATGCGTTGCAGTTGGGAACTTTTATTATTGTTACACTTGTGCATAAGGACAATAAACAACTTGATTGGTGATGTAGAAATGCTCAGCACTCGCTTTCCTCTTCATCAATAAATAAACAAAAAAATGGAAGAAAAAGAAACCTAAAAATTATGGTTTACACAAAATGAGCCAAGTTGTTCATAAACAACAAGCATATACGGAGGTGATCATCGTTTTAATTTTAAATCATTTATACACTTCACATATATAGTTTGAAGGTGAGAGGTAAAAAAGATTCAATAAACCAAGCACTTTTGAAAATAAAATATCATCTTCCAATCGTGCTAGCTATAAGGCTCTTTTTACTGTGAATTATCTACTATGGTCATCTTACATATTTTTCTTTTTCTTTTGTGGTACTTAACTTGAAGTCAACTAGTGTATTCTACTACAAGTTTTAAATGTTCTCACATTCAGTGAGACAACCTAATGTCTATATTACTATGTAACATAACATTCTTACCAGATTCACTGGGTGGAACATTAATTTTTGGTTTACTTGAACCAGTACGAGGCCTTGATCTACCAGTGGTTGGTCTTGTAGATGGTGGTCGAGACACAGTGGCACTTGAAACAGCCTTGGGGGAAAAATTTAAAGAGTATGACCTGTTGATCTATAAGCAATTCGTTAACTATTCTACCATTAAAGTTATAGCCATATGTGATAATTTTTATCTAGAATTTTACAGCTAAGGTATATACATATATATATTGTAACTTTTACTGGTCTTTGTTTAGTTTCTTCAGAGTTTTGGAATTTACACTTGAATGATTATTTAGGCTACTAATTATGATAACAATAATTTTATTAAATCGGAGTATGTAATAATACATGAAATGTTCCTTTCAAAGAAATTCCTCGAAAAGAGCTAGTTTATACTCATTGGCTCAGATATGTATTCATTATATGGCCATACACTATAGACAAGATTCAAGAATTCATGAACCACCTGAACAGACAACATGCTATGACAAAATTCACAATGAAACTAGAAAAAAGTAAATAACTTTAATCACTACCAACACAAAGTCTTCTCAAAATTTGCTTTAAGACAGCAGAAAATTATCATCTAAGACATAGGATAACAACTGGTTAGTAATTAGCATCTAGTTATAAAAGAAGAAATTAATATTTATTAACAAATTTTTCAACACCTGTATGATTGTTTAGGTTACAAGCCATCAAACTGAAGTATGTAATAACACATGAAACGTGCTTAAGAATATAATGTATTTACATAATGTAATTCATGCATATATGTTACTTTAATCACAGTGCATGTGAATTACTACTATGAGGCTTACTATGATACTTTTTTACTTTTTTTCTACTCTATTACTTACAAGTATAATAACTAAACATCTCTCCAACAACAACAACAACAAAAATTTCCACTAAATTAGTATTTTCATTATCATTATATTTTGGAAGAAAACTTCAGTAACAATTAACACATATGTTTATTTCACAGTTCATTTGACTGTATAGTAAAACAAACTTGGAAAAACAAGGAAAATAAGATTTTGAATGGAGATACGCGAGGCTTTGCTGGACAAAAAGACTGGTAGTAAAAAATTTTAACAAAACTTTTGTTAAATTGTGTATTATATCCAACTCTAAATTGTGTATTATAAGGAGGAAAAACACATTTTTTAAAGATAATTTCAGTAAAAAAAATTTTTTCATAATAAAATGAACTAAACAATTAAGAAAAAATACTGAAGTTGGCCTGAAAGTGGTTCTAAAAGAGGAATTAAGTCTGTTCAATAAATACTGATTGTACATTTTACTTAAATGTCTATTAGTTCATAATAGTGCAAACCTTAAAATCTGTAAGGCATAGTAGTTATTATTTATAGTATTTACACTCTGAAAGTAAATTTTTCAGTATTAAACTAAAAATCCTACTTCCACAGCTCCAGTATCCAACTGATTTAATTCTTCAAACCCTTGTCCTGCGAGGTGATCGTCTAACAACTGATCTTGATCTTCAAGCTAGAAAATCATGAAATTCCCCACTATAACAACAACTAATAAATGTATAACAACATTTTATAACAAAAGTTCATGTAAGATCATATCTAAATAGGTATCTAGATTGTCAGTTTTATTCAGTAAATTCCTGCAAAGTGTTCAGCAGCTGTAGCCATTTACAAAATCATTCAGAAGTGGAAGTTAAGCTTTAAAAGTGTTACAAGTATATATTAAACGATAATATTTTTTCATTTTCTAGATAACTTGGTCAGCTAAACTTTGAACTGATAATTCATCTTGTTTTCAAAGTTTTCCTCCTTATTATCTTAAGTACCAACCTGAATAATACATCCAAGTATGAGCCTCTGAAATTTAGCCTATGTAATCAACAACTACAATTCAGATTAATAATTCAATATAAAAAATATCTTTACAAAATAAGTAAAAATACATGTATACAATATGTCTGTTTTCAAGATATTAGAAAAAATATGGTTACACAATATGCTTTTGAAAATTCAAAAATGTAAAACTGGACTTTTTTTGTCTTAAATAAGTACCAACATGCTACATTCATATGCATACACACTTACAGTAATAAGTATACACATACACATCTACAATCTCAAGCAATGTTATTGAAGGAATTATCCTAAAACTAAGAATTTTTTTTTATGAATAGCAACACAGTTTTTTCATATAATTTTCTTTATCGTAGATAAATTATACAATAGGGATAAGACACTAAATAATCTCATACAGAAAAGTATTTGATATATTATCATAATAAATATTTCTAAAGTTAAAAAGAAATTCAAGTAAGTTCTTATCTCCAGCTAAAAGATAACATCTTTCAGTGGTTATTTCATAACCTATTTCAGTATTATCTCAGTTTCCAAAAGTCACCCTCACTAATCGTTGGTACTTAAATGACAAGTACAACATCAACTTACGTGTAACATCTACTGGTGTAACGTTCAAGGGTATACAGGTAGTTTTAAACTCCACAACTTAGTTTAATTATAAAAATATAGCTCCTAAACATGTAAATTTATTATAATATTACTAAGAACTAGAATACAACAATACAACTTCAGATTAGAAAAGGGGAGAGGCTCAGAAAAATAAGAATATAGTAATTTATTTTATGCAACAAGCATGCTTAACAATGTTGGGAACCTTTTCTCATACCAGCAGAAAGTATAATGTAGTAATCAAAAGGTTCAGGCAAGGAGAACTGCATATATTTACATCAATGATATAGATGAAGGAATGGTCAATAAATTACTTAAATGTGCAAATCATACTAAGGTTTTGGGTATTGCTAGCTGTGAAGAGGATGCTACTGATTTAAAAAAGGATTTAGATCATTTAGTGAGTTGGGCAAATAAATGGCAAATGGGTTTTAATTATAACAAATGCAAGATAATGCATGTGAGTTATCATAACTTGAATGGGAATAACCTTAATAATGTTATGATAGAAAGGGATCTTGGTGTAAGAGTTGATTAGTTTCTAAATCCAACCAAACAGTGTGCTGTTGCTAGTAGTAGGGCAAATAGGATTGTAGGTTGTATCTAGAGAAATATTGAACACAAGTCTAAAGAGGTTATAATTTCAATGTATAGGTCACTAGTTAGGCCACATTTGGAATATTGTGTTCAGTCTTGGGCTCTTTACCTTAAGAAAGACATTGAATTGTTGAAAAGGGTTCAGAGGAGGGTTACTAGAATGGTGCCTGGGATGGAGGGGTTGTCATATGAGGAGAGGTTGAAATCTCTCAAATTGTTTTCTCTAAAAATAAAAGAAGAGTTAGGGGGGATCTGATTGAGGTGTTTAAGATTGTAAAGTGAATTGATAGTGTTGATGCATCATCTTTTTTCATGTTTAACAGTGAGAATAGTAGGACTAGGGGACACAAATATAAATTTTGACAGGGTAGGAGTCATCTTCAGCTAAGACAGTTTTCTTTATCTAACAGGGTGATTGGCTTTTAGAATGGGTTGCCTTCAGATGCTGTGGAAGCAGTAAATTTAAGTAAGTTTAAGAGAAAGCTTGATAAGGGCTGGCTTTAAGATTTTTTAAAATGTATTTATTAATAGTTTTAGTTTAGAGGATGGAACAGCCAAGATGGACCAATAGGTCTGATGTTGTTCCCAAACATTATGTTATGTTATATATGGAGATTTATCAGAAAGTACAGTTTCCTCATTTGTGCAACATTCAATTATTATCATATCATAGGTTGTTCTATCTTCTCTCTAAGCATATTCACTAACATAACAACCTATCACCTATCATTCATAATAAGTGAGGGGAAAATCCAATACAGACCACATAATAAACTAACCAGCCAGATAACAACATTAGACTGTCAAAGTCTAAACATGCAAAGAAATGAATAATAAAAAATAAGGATGAACATCATAGCATTCTAGCTAGCCAACCAAACCTTAAGTTAAAGAAGATTAATTTAGGTTGAAAAATAGACAAAAGCAAGCTATATATGCATGGTTACCTATATAAATGACGTAAGTCATTCATTACAACTGATAGTAATACGTGTGTGTGTGTATACACATACACAGATACATTTATGTAGGTTCTCTATCTAGGTCAAGTTATTGGTTTCTTCAAATTCCTTTGGAGAAGTGTAAAACTTATCCTGCACATGTCCAATGGATTATTTGATGATGCAGGTCTTGATGAAATTTAAGACGTATTTAAAAATCATTTAATATAAGATAATCAAAAGTATTTTAATCAATTAAAAAGCACAAATAATGCATAAAGCGTTTACAGTTCTGATGTAGAAGTAAAATCAGGTATATAAGGAATATAAATAGTGTGTAAAAAGCAGTGTAAGTTACTGAAGGAATATTACTGCTTTCTTTAATTCTATTTAAAAAATGTTAATTCTTCATTCTCAAGAACTAAACTGAGTATCTGTTTTACATACACACAAAAATGCTAAAAAGGTTTAATTTTTCACAGTATTCTGTAGTAATATAATTCAATACAAAATGAAAGCAGTAATCAATAATATGTACTGCAATTACAATTTACATATTTCTTGTGGTCTTGGTACATATAAGAATTTTGTTTCAAATAAAAAACCTGAATACAGTAGTGTGTTAAAACAAGACCGAGTGAGAAAAGTTAGACATATATCAAATGCCATACACTAAGTGCAAGTTTAAGGACAAAATGTTAGGTATTAAAGATTAAATTTCTTGGGTGTGTTTGAGAGCAATTGTGTATTTTTGTACTTCTATAATTTTAATAACTATTAATTATTAAAACTATATATTTTCAGTTAAGTTTTATTTCTGTTATTTCTACTTAAGTTGCTTTCCATGATACACCTAGCAATGGTTGCCTAGGTTTGGGAATGGGCAAAATAATAAAAATCAGATTGTGTAGCACTCCATAAATGAAAGAGGTCAACATTCACAGGTGAATGCAATGTGTCATTGTAACACAATCCCAACACAGTCAATTTTGACACATGAAAAAAAGTGTGAAAAACATGGAAAAATCAAAAACTATCTCAATGCTAGCTAGGGATATGCAAGAAGATATCTTTGTACCAAATCCCATGTAAGTTGGTTAACATGAATAGTTCACAAAAAAAAAAACAAATTGTGCTTTCCTCACTGAAAAATTGAGCAAAAGACATAAAATCCAAAACTGTCTATGTCTTCTGTTTCAGACCTGCAAAAATTATTTTTCGACTAAGTTCAACGTAAATTGGTTGAAATATGGCCAAAAAGTGGACCAAAACCTCAAAAATTATGCTTTCTGTGACATTTTGATTTCCCTAAGATAAACTAAAATGAGCATATCCCATATTTTTTGTATGTATATATATATATGGTATGTGTAGAAAAGTATTTTTGTACCAAATACCATGTAAAGTGGTCAAAATATGGCTGAGTAATTGACTAAAAACTCCAAAGTTAAGCCTTTTTAGTGAGCTCTGACACCCTAAAAAAAAAAAAAGACTCAAAATGAGCAAATTCACAAGGAAGCCAAAAATATACATTTTTGGTTTGTTTGACCTTTTTCCCACAAAATCATTAGAAATACCTAAATGAAAAATGTGTCTGGGCATATTGGACCAAGGTATAACCCTACCAAGTTTCAAGTCAATCTGCAGAGAAATGAATGAATGGTGGTTGATTGAAAAGTGCTTGGAAGAAGAAAGAAGTAACAATTGAAAAACAGTATGTCTGACATAATAAAAAATATATATGAGCTAGACAAAAAAAAATATCAAAAGATGCATTAGTCCAAAGCAAATAATTTCAAGTTTTATGATTCCTGTCCAACATACATTCAAAAATATTGAATTCTTTTACATTTCATACAGCTTTAGGTTCACTTACCACAGCTGGTGTATCATCAGCAAGTGGGCCTGATTCTTTAACTGTATCAGGAATATAAGATTCCATGTTTAAGTCCATTACTTCTGCAGTTTCTTCTTCCACTTCTTGCTCTAAGCTAGGTCCATTTTCTTTGTCTTCTTCCTCTGTTATGGCAAGTGTTTTACCACGAGAACGACCAGATACAGCTGCACTTCTGCGATCATGGCTACCTCTAGAGCTTTCCCTTCCACTCCGTGCACTAGCTTTTGAATTACTTTTCTGATCTTCAGGTTTGGAGCTTTTAACTCTTTCTTTTGATTTTTCCTTATCTTTGATCCTGTCCTTGTGTTTATCCGTATCTTTATTTCTTGAGGAATCTTTAGCAGACTCCCTTACACGGGATTCTCTCCTGGTTGACTCCGAGCTTTTCTTAGGTGATGACTTTGATATTCTTTCTGAAGATCTGTGTGCTTTGGTTTCTTTTTCTCGTTTCCCTGATGACTGAAAATTAAGACCAAAAATTTCAAAATTAATTTTCATCTCATCCAGATTCAAAATTCTTCCTTTTCATAAAGTAAATAAGTTATCTGAAAAGTTAAAACAGCATTACATACATCTTCATGTATCATTAGATCTTTATATGTAAGTCATGAATAATTAGAATTTTGAGCAGTTTTAAGAAGAAACTTCATGTTTTATACTATTAGCAATCAATACACAAAATCAACTTCCATAAACAATTCAAACATACTTGTAGTAATATAATATTTCAACTTTATTTCTCAATTCATTTGAAAATGTTGATTTTTTTTAAGATTCTGAAAGTGAATTATTTCAATTAGAATTGCAGTTTATTACTAACATGTATCAGCTCTAGATTTTCAAATCCTACTAAAAATGCAATTTAATTGCAAACCAAAATATGTAATAAAAATTAGTTCAGAAGCAAAACAATGTATCACTACTCTAACAAGCAATCAGCATTGCCAATCCAAATAAACTACATACACAAATTTAAACTAAAATATATCATTAAAATTATCTATACTGTTTTGTACCAAGTTTAAGTTTAGAATAGCTATTAAATTGTAATTTATTCAAAAATTCTAACCAAAATATGTAATAAAAAGAACTTCACAGACAAAAAACTGTATCACTAGTCTAACAAGCAATCAACATTGGAAATACAAACCTAAACTACACAAACACACCAACTTCTGAACAGTGTCAGTAAGAGTGAAGTTGTAATACATACCTTAAGAACATAAACACTAAATGACACACTGTATTTACAATTGCAAAGCTTGTTCAGGACTTATTTAAACAAACAACTGTGATAAAATATTTACAACTGTTAGTAAAACATTTGGTACTAAAGACCGAAATACTGAAATCATGGCATTTGGGGAAGAAAAATATATCCAGCTGTTGTGTCTATTATACCTTACACAGTGATTAGAAAAATAAGAAAAATCTAGTTCCAAAAGCAACTGATTTACAAAACAATTGACTCTTCAAAGCAACCTCAGTTGAATATAGCCAACAAATGACAACAACTAAAATGTACTCTTCTTGCTAACAAGAAAAATTAGAATACTCAGTTTTCCCTGTAAACAAAAACAATGCAGTCTTGCAATCCTGGAGAAAATTAAAGTATGTTTTATGCATTGCACAACTCTCAGAAATAAATTTTATCTTTAGGACCATCTCCTCCACAATCTCAGAAAGGCATCCTGCAGAAATATAAAATACTCAGTTTTCCCTGTAAACAAAAACAATGCAGTCTTGCAATCCTGGAGAAAATTAAAGTATGTTTTATGCATTGCACAACTCTCAGAAATAAATTTTATCTTTAGGACCATCTCCTCCACAATCTCAGAAAGGCATCCTGCAGAAATATAAAAGTGGATACTCATCTATTCAGATATTCCACTGAAGAATAGACATGTGAGCCCTACAACCATGAACATACCATTTAAAAGCAGGCAAGTTTCCCAATAAACACAAAGCAAGACAGTCTGTTACTCCATTGTTAAAGTATGTACCAGAGTGGTCCTACTGGTGGCCTACACATGACTGTTAATTTTTTAAGCATTAAAAAACTTCCTCACAAATACATATTAAACAGAAAAACCCAGTAAGTCACATCAGTAAGAAGTTATGCCCCCTTCAATTTTCCATTCTCTATAGATCCTATAAGTAAAAGGTTGGACCAATCTTGCTGTACAATGTATTACAATTTTCTGCTGGTTTGTTTTGTTTTGAATTTCATGCAAATCTACACAAGGGCTAGATGCCCCCCCCCCCCCATGACTGAAAGGGAGAGCATGTTTGGTGGGATGGGGATTTGAACTCGCGACCCTCAGATTGTGAATTGAGCACTCTAACCACCAGGCCAGTCTATATTCTGCAACTGTAGAGATAGTTATAAGGGACTTCCAGAATTGAAGGTGTTGGCCTTAGGGCAAAGTTTGATAATAACTCCTTATGAGAAATTTTTCAACTCCACTATAGCCAGTTCTAAGCCAAGTTGAGAAAAGAGGAGGACTGCCATAAGGACTTGCAACCTGGGCATAAAAACCTTGTAAAACAAATATGAAGAAGAATCACATGATATGCCATAGAGCTAATGCACCCCATAGGTGATGTGCACTACTATTCCCCAGGCAGTATGAAGAGTTGGCAAGGGGGTACTGCTAGATGAAGGTGGCTAAAGAAAGAAGCTGGGAAACTAAGGATAGTGACACGGAATATTGGCATAATGACAGGGAGAGGTACAGAAGTAGTAGATGTGCTAGAGAGAAGAAGAGTAAAGATTGCATGTATTCAAGACACAAAGTGGAAAGGACAGAGTATGAAAGAGTAGGTGTGGGCTACAATATGTTCTACTCTGGGGGGGGGGGGTCAAAAGGAAAGAACAGAGTTAGAATTGTGTTAGATAAGATGAGAGTGATCGAAGTAGAGAGAACATTGGACCAACTAATGACCGTTAAGGTGACAAATGAGGATGGATTTCTAAACATAGTGTCAGGTTATTATTCCCTACAGATAGGATGCTCTGTTGAGGAGAAGAGGACTTTGAAGAGAAACTACAAGGCATGACTATAAAAATACCAGATAGTGAGATGTTGATTGTGGGAACAGAAATGAATGCACCAGAAGGAGAAAAAGTGGATGGGTTTGAATGGACACATGGGGAGAAAGACTATGGAATAAAAAACATGGAAGGAGAGAGATTACTGGAAAAATGGTAGAGAGTACAGATTTGTTCCTAATAAACATTAGGTTCCAAAAGAGAGAGGAGCACCTCATCACATTAACTACATCTTAGTCCAAAGGAGGGACAGAAAAAAGGTGTTGGATGTAAAGGTGATACCATGAGAAGCAGTGGCACAACAACATAGTGTTGATAATGAAGATGAAGAATAAATGGAACAAGAAGAAGGAAAAGAGGAAAGGAACTGATAAGATTTAGGTGTGGAAGCTAGAAGGAGAAAACCAAGAGAAATACAGAGAGGCAGTGAAAAGGAAGATACAGGAGATCCAAAAAACTGTTGGAAATGTAGATAGTTACTGGAAAGAACTAAAAAAGTGCCTGATTCAAGAGGCAGAAAACATTTGTGACAAAACAAAAGGATGCCGACAAAAAAACAGAAGGAAGTATGGTGGCGGATTGAAAAGTACAGCAAACCTTCAAGGAAAACAAAGAAGCCTTCAAAGAATGGCAGGTAAAAGGAGTTGAAGAGAGCCATGGCAGTGGTGAAGAACGAGGCAATTAAAAATTGGTATGACCATAAGGAGACACCAGAAGGGGAGAGAGGTAAGCAGAATAGCCAGGCAAAGGGAAACAGCAGAAGAGACTTCACAGTGAACAAAGTAATTAAGGACAAAGAAGGGGAAGCTCCTGATGAATGAAAAGTCAATAAAACAGAGATGGAAACAGTACCACAATGAAATACTCAACACCACAAATGAGGTAGAAGAACTGAAGGAAACACCACCTATAGCAGGACCAGTACTGGATGTCAGTAGAGCAAAGGTCAAAGAAGCAATCAGAAAAATGAAGATAGGCAAGATGAGAGGACAATCAAAGATTGTCACTGAAATGGTCAAGGCACTAGGAGATGATGGAGTTAAGTATGTATAGACCTTTCTGAAGAACATCTAGAGGGAAGAGCAAATACTTGCAGAATGGAGAGAGAATGTATTGATATCCATTTACAAGCAAAAGGAGAAGATGTTTTTGAGTGTGAAATACAAATGAAAATTAAAGTGGGGCAGAAGAGTTTGGAAAGAAGAGGCTCAAAAGTAAATGCCAGAAAAACAGAAGTAATGGTTAGCAGAAGGGGTAGAAATAAGAAGGTCAGAGATCACAAATATAAAGAGGAAGCTGTTGGAACAGGTAGAAGACTTTAGGTATCATGGGAGCTACAATCCAAAATGAAGGAGCTGTGACAGATAGAATCCAGGCAGGTTGAAAGAAATGGAAGGAAGTACTCACAGTAATCTGTGACGAAAGGCTACCAGGGGCACTGGAAGTCAGCATATAAGACCATGATTAGATTGCTGCTCCCCTATGGAGCAAAGACCTAAACTCTGAAGAAGAAAGAAAAAGGCTTGTTGAGAAGAACAGAAATGAGAATATTGAGATAGCTATTTGGAGTGTCACTTAAAGAGAAGAGAGTGAATAAACAAATTAAGGAAATAGATAAGGAACTGTGGATTACCTCTTGTACACATAGGATAAGAACAGAAATGAGAATGTTGAGATAGCTATTGGGAGTGTCAATGAACGAAAAGAGAGGGAATAAGAAAATTAAGGAAATGGCAGGAGTTTGTGGAATTGAGAGAAAAGCAAGAGAAGTGAGACTGAGGTGGTTTGGCCACGTAAAGAGAAGAACAAGCAATAAGGAGAGCATTAGAGCTGCCAGTAGCAAGGAAGAGAAAACAGGGAAGGCCAATAAGGCATTTGAAAGATGGGGTTAAAGACGACATGAACAGGAAAGGAATTGCAGAAGAATTGACAATGAACAAAGATGATTGGAGGAGGGCAAAACATATGAAGGACAGCGATTCCTGCTAAAGGGAAAAGTTGAAGAAGAAGAACGGGTCAACAGATTTCAATTAAAATCTAACATTTACAGTAATATGCAGAGAACATTAAAAGGATAAGGCCTATTGACAAAAATGGGTAACTTTTCAAGCATCATAAGGCAAGCCTTTTTTGAAGGGGGAGGAAAGAGGAGACTATGGGAACTGTGGATTACCTCTTCTATACGCAGGATAAAAAGCTATAAGAAACAAACAGATCATCTTTAATTCTGTTTCAACAAGTCTTAAGAACTCTTTCAAAATCTAAAACTAGACAGTAAATTATTGTGTATTAACACTAAATAGCATATTACATCTTTTTTTACTGTAAAATCCTACAAGTCCTGTGATATATGCATATTCAGACTGAAATAATTTTCTTTTCTTTCTCTAATAACTTGCAGCAAACAAGGTGTGAAATCAGGCACATCTTTTAATGGTTGATAACAGTTTTTTATGACTGAGAAAAAGGGCACTTCTGGGGCATATAGATAGGAAGACAGGGATTCATGTAATAATTGTCAAGATAAAAAGACATTGTACATACCCAAGGTCTTATTAAAATTATTTTTTAAAAACAGCAAGTGCAAGATGGTTCATAAAAACAACTAGGTTGCAGAGATATGGGTTCTAATTAAAATAATACTGACTGTCATGTTGCTATCAACTGGTTCCCACAATATTAAAGTCAAATATGATAGATACAGAACAAGCCATAGAGAAAAGATGTGCCTTACAAACTACATATGCATTACTACATACTGGGGGTGTGAATTACCTCTTTTTCTTTCCTTTTTTCTG